ACGTTTCATGTTGCACAGCTACACATAAATATGTACAAGGAAACTGAGAGGGATCCAGAGAGGTATGTGTACCATGTTTCAAAAGCAACATTAGCAGAGAAGCCCCCTATAGGACAAACAGCCCTAGCCATATCCAGCATATAATTTTTTCACTGGCAGATTCAGTGGAAACGGGGGCCAGACATCACTAAAAGGGATGAGATTATGGGATTTTTTTCTCTCTTTTTGCTAAAAGAAAAACATAAGCTTTAAAATGTTCACTATAAGGAAGTCATATATGATGTCAAGAGTGCATCAATCACCCACATATCATCACTGGCAGAAACCTTACCTCCACAGGCAGTTACTGTCCAGAGGACACCCATAAACTGCAGGTTCTAATTTCTATGTATGGAGAGTGGGTTCTCATTGAGTCTAGGGCAATGGGCTAAGAGCTAGCAGGCTCTAGCCTATATCAGTATTCCCAAAGCATATAGGTCCTTCAGCCTAGCTGTCACCTGATGCTATGTTAAACATATGAAATAGAAACTGAGAGGAGGTATGGTGGAAGAGAGAAATATGAATGTTATTGTAAATGTCTAAGTAGCACCTGGACTAAGGAGTTTATGACTCTGCAAATCATCTCAGCTCTTTAAGGGTCTATCTTGCCAATACCTCAAGCACATAGGTTAATGCCTTTGCCATGCCAGTATCACTCCCTTCACAAAGGATAGTTTGCCACATTCACCAGGTATGCCCCATCACTCAGAAAAGTATTCTGAAGATTCTGCTGCCTATAGTTCCTGGAATTAGGAACCTATGGCCTACTACCTTGAGAGATGCAGAACAACAGGCTCATTAAAATGTCTCTCATTTACATCATCTCTCTTATGACATTTGGAAACAAGAAAATGATCAGGCTATTTCTCTGTAGGCCTAGTGCACACTAAGCACAGAGACCTATGTCCTTCTGCAATGAAACTCTGGGACATAAAACCGATGTTTTGATTCTGATCTAGTCTCTATCAATTCCCTTTTAGTCTTCCTGTCTGTAAAATGGCCCCAATACCATTAGCCCATCACAGAAGATAGAAAGGAATCAGATGTCCTTGATTTTGAGTTTAAAATAAAGCCATCTGGGCTGCCTCTAGTCATGAGCCCATTGCCTTTAGTTCAAATGTCAAATCTGTATCACAACATTCAAGAAAATCCAGAAACCATATTTCTCCTCAAGGTGGTAGTATTTTGAATACTTTACAAATAACTGCAGGCAACAAAGCCAAGAGATAGAAAAAGAAAATACAAATACTGAGATCTCCAATGGAAAGGGAAGAAAATATAAATATGGGAAGTACTCTCTGATTTTGGAACAAAGGATGCAGTGGCAAAGGATGGTGCCCATGAATAAAACGTGTACAGTAAAACCATGGAAGGTGAAAAAGAATACCAGGAAACATTTATATTTTATGTGCATGCTACTACTGTACTGCAAAATATACATATATAATTGTATCTTTATCTATATGTATCTTTTAGAAAGTCAAGAGTCTTTGGAGGTAAAAAGTAGAAAGATTTAAACTAATTAAAAACAGGTTGCCGCCTGCCTCGCAAGCGCAAGGACCCAAGTTCGATCCCCGGTACCAAAAAAACCCACAAAAAATAGGTCAGCAAACATCAGGTGTGTGAGAGATGAAATGTAGCCATAAAAGCCTGATGGACACATACAATGTATGAAGTTGGGAATGTGTGTCTCTTCAGCTTTGTATCTGTTAAAGAACAAACAATTTACATGTTGTTGCATTATATAAGTATGATATGGGGCATGTCAACCTTTTCTTTTTAAATGAAACCATGTTAAGTTAAATCAGTGATGGAGTTAGAGGGGGTGGAAAGGATTGGGTAAAAGCAGGGAGAAAGAAAGTTTTAAAAAAAATCTCTGCCTCAGCAAAAGTTTTCATTAAAATTTTAGACAAATGATCCTTGTGTCCTTCTCTCTTGCTGCCTGGGGCTCCATGCTATTTCTATGCAAATAACAACCTCGTGGTTTATATCTTATTATTTCCACCGGAGCTGCAGCGACATGACCTGAGACGTGTAAGAGGTGGGATGGGGTAGGGAGGAGGGAGGTGGAGAGCAGAGAGAAAGAGAAAGAAGGAGAGAGGGAGGAAGGGAGAGAGAGATGGAGTGGGTGCTCACTCAAGTGTGAAAAAATATTGTCAGGAGTAAGCATCAAGAACAAAAAAAAAATTGCAGGGATAACGTGTTTATTTCAGTCCCCCCACCCGTCCACCCCCACCGCTCAAACCAGCACCTTTTAAAATTCATTGGGCATCAGGCGATCATGCACAATCCATCTGCTTTCACTTTATCATTTGCATTTCATGCCTCCTGGCTTTTGATGTGCTGATACTTTGATGCAGTCAGGAGACGCGCATTATCATTATTTCAATTTTCAAAGGGGTCAACGGGATTGGCACTTGCACACACAAGATTTTTTTCCCACCAACCTCTGTGCACCCTCCTTCTTATTTTTCACCCCAATGTTTAACATAAAGGATGAAGCCTCAAAAAGGTAAGGGTCAAATGTTTATAGTCTAAGACCATATATAAGCTTGCACTTATGCCTGTCTACATTTCCACTTTACACAGGTACGCAAAAATTATAAACAAAATGGCCAAGCCTTAAAAGGGAGCCTTCATAGCATTTCAAACACACAAAGACTTTCTCATACACAGATACTCAGAGATGAACAGAGAGAGGGATCTATAAGCAAGATACAGAAACAAAGTGACAGAGAGATCAGCACTCAAAACACAAGAGAGTGACTTGCACACATCCACAATAAGTGAGACAGAGAGATAACTACAGAAAGAAGGGAAATAGAGACCAGAAAGACATCAGCACAGACAAAGAAGGAATATGCACAAGGAGTGAGTCAGAGGAAGCAATCTGAGCATGGTAACTCTGGAATAGTTTCCTTTTTCATACCTGATAAAGGGGCTGATAGGACATTCTTAATGAATGTCCATGAAATCAGGTGTCTTCCAGCAAGCAAAGCAGGATTGGGTAATGTCTATAAACAATTGCTCCCTAGCTAAAAATGATCATGTCTTTCTGGAAATGAGCAGTGTTTGGTAAGTTACAACAACAGCTTGACTTGTCTTTCCCTCTACAACTAGGCTTTTCCTTTAATAAGCAGCTCTTCAAGGTAAGAAGAAGGTGAATATACTGAATTTAATCAGAACAATTCAACTGAATTTTAAGAAAAATATCCTTAAAGCTTTCTTCATGGGACAAACGAAATGGAACTGGTAAGTTTTCAGCAAAAAAAAATCCTCCAAGCCAACCAAACAAAATACCGCTCAAAACCAACAATCTTGGGCCAGGGATTTAGCTCAGTGGTTCTGCTGCCTGCTTGCAAGAGCAAGGACCCGAGTTCGATCCCCGGTACCAAAAAGAACAAAACAAAACAAAAAACCCAACAATCTTTGGTTTTTATAATATTCTTTGTGTATAACACAATTATCTGTGTGTGAAGCTTAATGCAACAAGATACTTTTCAGAAATTATCTCTCTATACATGTATGAAAATATCATGAAAAACATTTTAAAATTCTATCCTCACATGTAATGGTATCTAAACCTTTTCAATGTTTATCAATATTTTATCCTAAGAGAAACTTTAAAAAAAGTTTTTTTAAGACTCTTGGCTATTTCTCTCACCACAGTAATCTTCAGTAGTAGCAGTTCATAACAAGCTGACTACATCAAACAATTCTCTAATTTATGATATCCCTAAAAAAACTAATTAGATCAATGGAATTATGAACTTTTTCTAAATGGGAATGACAGATGGGACACTTAGTACCTATCCTTCCATTTAAAAATCAAGGTTTGATAAAAATTTCCTGCAAGTCACAAAAACACAATAGCCAATATAATTTAGTATGTGAGTAATTGTATAAGCTTAGTCACCAAACTATGTGAGACAGGAGAACTGAAATTTCAGTGAAAGGGAACACTTTGTCTCCACAAATGAGCTACTCATATTTGCTCATTTGAGCACTACTACATTACTTAAAGATGGAAATTATTATCCCTCTTCAACAGGTAGGAAAGCTGAGGAGGAAAAAGGTAATATATGTTGCACAAAGGCAGCCAGCCCTGGACTATTCTATCATATATTTCTGCTTCTAGAGAGAAAATAAATATCTTATCCCTACAAAGAAGTCAGAAACTGCATTATCCTTTGTATATTCTTTTTTTCTTGGATGGTTCTCACTCTTGGATATCACCACCCCCTGTAGAAAAGCCCCTATGAACTTGGGCTAAAAAGGCATAAACTAAAGCTAGGGTTGTAGCTGAGTGGTGGTATGTGTCCTAGGATTCATGAGGCCCTGGGTTCAACCTCAGCATGGGGGTGGTGGTGGTGGTGAGGTGGGATTGTAAAATGGCATAAGCCTTTCTCAGGAAGGGAAGATAAATGCCTATGTCATGGTCTTTCCCAACAAACCTATTCAATGCATTCATTCACCAGTCTTCGCACTCAATATTTACTAAGTACTTCCCCTATGTATAAGGGACTACCATATATGTCCCTTTTAAGAGGTGTATTCATAATTTCTCAAAATATTAAAATTAGATATTCTCAACACCTTAGATCAGTACTTAGTTATGTTAAATAGGACCTAGTATAACTAGACTCTAAGACAGCTCTGTGTGTGAAAACATAGCTCCTGACATCCTTTATTTATAAGTAAGAAAAATGGAGTGAGTGGGGGCAGAACAAAAGCATTCAGATAATTCTGACTTTCTAGAAAGAGACTAGGATATGAGCTTTTTGGAGCAGGGATTTTGTTGAATGAAATGAATGAATGAAAAGGCAAGCGAGTCAATGGACTAAAATGATGGGGGGGGGGGGAGGTAAGACACAGACTGAGGAAAATCAGGATCTTGGACTAAGAATTCATGATAATCTTCAAATAGTTTAACACACTTCTCTCAAACCCTAAAAACTTACTTTGTTGAGGGCACCAGCTCCTGTCAAAATTAAGTGAGAGTTCTCAACCTGGATGGTTCTCTGTCCCAGCCGAACAAGATAAGCCCCAATTCCAATGGCCCGGCATGTCACCTTAAAAAAGAATAAATCCTGCATGTCACATATTTATGTCCTCTCCCAAATGACAAATCTAAGGCATACATAAAATGTGTAAAATCTACATGAATAGAAATAAACACTGCTTTTTGTGAAGTCTGAGTAATAACAATAAAAAAAAAATTTCTGGTCTAAGAGACAAAATTCATCTAATAATTCCAGTAGCAGACACTTCAAGAATCATAGCCCCATTACTTGCCCATTTCATAGATGACTGGCATCCCCACTACAGATATGAGCAAGGAAAGTACTAAAAAGAGAAGAAATTTAAGCTAAAAGAAATTCAAGTTTAAAATCTGGTAAAATATTATATGTGCTGCCGAAGAGAGCACTAAAACCCGGTAAAATATTTAGAGAAAGAAATTAAAGGCTAAAACAAATAGGTTTACTTGGAAAATTTGGTAATTTATATTATCATATCTTCCTATTATCATGCATGATTAAAATAAAACTTTTCAAGAAATGGTTTTGGACTGGGTGTGGTGGCACATGCCTGTAATTCCAGCACATGGGAGGACAAGGGAGAAGAATCACTGTGAGTTTGAGGCCTGCTTGGGCTACACAGTGTGTTCAAGGCCAGCCTGAACTCCACAAGGAGACCCTGTATTAAAAAAAAAAAAAAAACCAAGGCAGAAAAAAATGCTTTCATTTTGGACTGAACAGTGATGGGGGCAGCAATAAACCTAGTCACAGAGCCAGCTCTTCAAAAATTTCACATTCTGGGGGCTAGTGACATAGGTCAGCAGTAGAACATTTGTATAGTATATGTGAAGCTCTGAGTTTTGTTCCCAGTTCAGGGGAAAAAAATCACATTTGGGAAATATTTACCAGGCTGATGGTGATGATCTCATCATAGGCCAATGAAGATTCTCCAGCAATTATTCCTGAACCTCGAAGGTTCTCTGCTCCAAGCCCTTCTTCTTTCCCAATAATATCTGTTATCTTGTACCTATTGGATATAGCCATGCCAAAGCCCAAAAATTAAACACAGTAACAACAATCCATTATGTGGAAAATCATCACTAAAAAGCAACTAAAAGCATATTGAAAACTTGTATTTAATACAAAGGCCTTAAGGTCTTTCTTTTATATTCTTCATTCATGTCTTTCTTCTTAGTTTGATTCCTATTTTATCTGGAAGTATAACAGAAAAAGCAAAATCTAGGATTAAGTATATTGGTTTAAATCCTTGTTCTGATATATGCAGTGATACCACTCTGGGGTAATAATAACTTCTGTAGAATGGGGATAATATTACCTACCTTTAAGGGTTGGCACTAGAATTAAAGCAAGAAGGAGAAAGTTTGATCTAACTGGCCATCAGATGTTTTTTTTTTTTTTTTGGTGCCAGGGATTGAACTCCAGTCCTTGAGCTTGCGCAGCAGGCGGTGAAACCACTGAGCTAAATCCCCGGCCCTGGCCATCAGATTTTAGATGCCCTTTCTTACTTTTTTTTAATCAAGTTTCTTAAAAGCAGGGTCAATATATATATCACTATAATAAGCAATTGATTAAATCAAAATTTTGACAATTTATATATGAATTAAAAAATCCAAATAAAGGGGTAGTAGAAATGCTCAACTCAGTTTCAAGTCAAAAATTCTTTTTTTGGGGCTGGGGATTTAGCTCAGTGGTTTCGCTGCTTGCTGTGCAAGTGCAAGGACCTGAGTTCGATCCCCAGTACCAAAAAAAAAAAATTCTTTTTTTTCAAGATAAGGACAAAGAGAAAGGTCAAAATGTATACTCTCATTCTTGCTCTTTCATAATTACCAAGTGTATACATGAGGGTTCTTGGCTATAGTTCTCTGGAGGGGCAGGTAGAATGTGTGTAGAAGTGAAATGCTGGCCAAGTTGTACAGAAAGCATCCTGTGGGTCTACTGGGAGTCCCTCATCTGTCTTCCTGCCAGGGGATTAGGAGTGATAGCTGATAATGGGAAATGGGAGATGGGAAATGCAACTAATAAAAGGAAGGAAAAATAGAAAGTTGGAAGTAGAGATGGGCATAATTATTTATGGTTCCATCTATACTCAGAAGGCTTGGCACTGGGCACAATTTTACAAATTGAAATAATAAATAAGTATCCCACAGTGGCTCTTAAGCTACTTCTTCCTATCATATTTCTCTGCTCCCTTCTTTCTGTCCAGCCCAGTGCCATTGGTCTGAGTCTTTGCATTTCTGCTCCTCAGATTCTCCTAGCTTTCATTTTTAGCCCCTCCCAATAGTCAATAATTCTCCTATTCTTCCTTTAGTTTTATATCTAGACCTTAGAGTCTAGAGTTATGTTATAAATGAAGATAATCTTCCTTAAGGAGTTAATGAACCACAATCATTTGGGGAGGGGTAATGTGTTCTTTTTATAAGGTTCACATGTCATATAGTCACAAATATTCATAGGCCCGGGCAGCCTTTCCTGTAAAGCATATTCTCTCCTTGTAAAGGTTGCAGATTCCTTCAAAGGTATTCGTGATTTGTTAAGTGGCACCTTCTCCCTTCGTTTTACATGAAAAAGAATTAAAATTCTCCATTTTATGTTTTCTGACCTGAGTCTTCTACACATGGGGCTATCATTCTTTAAAGTAGAACTAAATTTTAATATGATAATAAACCTTTGTATAGTGTATTACAATTAATACATTTATGTACATATTTGATTCTTACAACAATCCAATGTGATAGGGAATATCATTCTCATTATTACAGATAGTAATAATAACCAGGATATTTAATTGCTTACTATGTGCTCACAACTGTGCTAAGGGGCTTGGTTCATCTTTCAGATAGGAAACCTCAAAGAAAAAAAATGACTTATTTTTTAACAAAAGCAATATACAAAATTAATAGTTTTCACAAAAGCTAGTAATAAGTAATTAAAAACATATATAACAATAGAAAAATCCTGTTCAGATTAGCAAGAAAAACTACAAAATATTTAGAAATAAACACGAAGAAAGTAGCAAAATTCCACCATACCCACACCAAACCTCAAGGTGTTCCAGGACACCACAGTGAACCCCCTAAGGATACTGCAGGATACTTTTAATTTTTTAGAGAAACACTATGACATTTGATATCTGTTGGATCCCAAGTGAATGACTAGCTCTAGGCAGTGCATGGTTTAACATTAGATAGTCTACATTCCTTTTGACAATGTCCTATCTTTACAAAGCTAGGTTTTTGCAGTTTGTGGGAAAAAAGCAAGCTCTACACGAAAATTAACGAAGAACAAGAAATAAGAGTGGTTAATCCACGGAGGTTCTAAGGTTGGGACTGTTACATAGATGCAAACAACCCACTAGCAAGTACATAATTAAGAGTGAAATAATATTTTTCAATTCATGTGTATTATTTTATTAAAAAATCATGAAATTGTTAGGACATAAACATGCAGTTATTGGAGTTTACCTACTTAACTGACAGAAATACAGTATTAGGTAAATCCTTTGGCCTTAGGGGTTGTGTGAAAAAATGAGCTGCTAAGTGTGTCATGAATCAACAAAGTTTCAGGACCTCTGGCATAACCTACAAGAAAACTATAAATCTTTTAAAAAGATACTTCAATAAAAAGAAAAACATACTATGCTTCTTTTGGGGAAGAGTTAATATTAGTAGGGGAAGAGTTAATACTAGGAAGATATTCACAAATTAATGTATAACACTAATGCGATAAGATTAAAATCATTATGAAAAGTCTTGGGGAACTAATTTTATAAAAATGATCCCACAGGGCTGGGGATTTAGCTCAGTGGTTCCGCCGCCTGCCTCGCAAGCGCAAGGTCCAGAGTTCAATCCCTGGTACCAAAAAAAAAAAAAAAGATTCCCACATATAAAAAGGGCAAAAACAGCTAAAAAGATTTGGGGAAAAATTAAGAACATGAAGAAATCTGCCCTACTAGAATAGTTAAAATGGTATGCCATTAGCACAGGGATAGATAGAACAAAAAATAAGAACATATGAGTTATGCAATAAATAAAGTTGGAGGAATTAACATTTTAGGAACTACTTGCAGAGAGATTATAAAAATGTTCAGCTTCACTGGTAATCAAAAATACAAGTTAAAATAACAATTGCCATTTTTATCTTACTTTATTATTTTTTTTTTTGGTACCGGGGATCGAACTCGGGTCCTTGCACTTGCAAGGCAGGCGGTGGAACAACTGAGCTAAATCCCCGGCCCTATCCTACTTTATTAATTGATAATCAATGTTGGCAAGGGTAGAAAAAAATTAAAAGAGAAGAAACAAGCACTATCACATACTACTAATTAGGAAAGCAGATCTTGGGAGGACAATTTGAAATTATTTTTTTAAATCCTTAAAAATGGACTTCTTTTTTGTTTTTCTATACTGAGGGTTGAACCCAGGGAACACTGAGCTATATCTCCAACCCTTTTTAAACTCTGTTTTGAGACTGGATTTCTCTAAGTTGCCCAGGCTGGGTTCAAACTTTTGATTTTTCTGCCTCAGCCTTCCCAATAGTAGGAGAATAGGTATGTTCTACCATGCCTAGCAGAAATATTATTTAACCAGTATTTCTGCTTCTAGAAATTAACCCAAAGGAAATAATCAAAGATACTCCTTAAAGTTTATATAAATGAATCTTTAGCTCAGGGATATAATAGTAAAAAATCGGAAATAGCCTGAATGTTCAAATATAATATATTCATTATGATGAAGTACAATTCAACCATTAACATTCATATATTTTAAGTTGGGTGTGGTAGTGCATGCCTGTAATCCCAGCACTCTGGAGGCTGAGGCAGGAGGATAGCCACAAGTTCGAGGCCTGCCTGGGCTACATAGTGAGTTCGAAGTCAGCCACAGCTACACAGAGAGATCCTGTCTCAAAAAAAGAAAACCCCAAAACATAAAAATTTCTCTAGAAATAGTTTTGTGAACAAAACAAATTCAAAAGAAAATCTTATCTATTATAATCCCAATTATGTTGAAAAAAGGGTATGAATATGGAAAAGATACTCAGAATATATATATTCATAACTGTTGCCTCAGGATCAAACTGTGGCTGATATTTTTTCTTCATAATTGTTTACATTTTAATTTTTCTAAAATGAATAGGTATTCCAAACAGAATTTAAAAACCTCAATAATAAGGTCTTTCAGTTAATAAGTGGTAGAGGGGGTAACATAAAAACCTAAGACATCTAGATTAAGTAACAAGTAATCTCCACTGCTCTTCAAGGTCATGATCAGCAGAACAGTAGGGAAAAAATAATGTATTCTCTTTTCTTTAGTCATGGCCAAATTATCTTGATATATAAATACTTACCTGGATTCTCCTTCATCCTCCACATGTTCACAGTGGACAGAGTTGAGAGCACTGACTCTCTTATAATCTTGAGGGGTCAGATATAAATACTTGTATCCCTGTGAAATACAGTTTTTTTTAACTCATTATTTACCATTGTCACATAACCAGAAGACACAGCAAAGCATGCATAATAAGCTTGTTTCAAAGGTAGCTTTAAATTGCCATATCACTTCTTAAAGTTACCATCTAATAGGATATTAGCATAGATCTCCTTTAAAAGACAGAAGCAGTTATTTTTTCCGTTACTGACTGCCTGTCCTTGAGACAAGATACCTTGTAGCTTCAACTGCAAGTATATTCTATTGATTTCAATTCAATAGGGGTAAAGGGTCATTTTCAGATCTTTAGTGACACCTCTATTAAACATATTAACATGAGGGCTGGGGATTTAGCTCAGTGGTTCTGGCACCTGCCTTGCAGGCGCAAGGTCCCAAGCTCAATCCCCGGTACCAAAAAAACAAACAAAAAAGATATTAGCATGAATTAAAGACTTATGAGAATAACTACTCTTCACTCTCTTAAATCTCTATATAAAAAAATCATCAAATCTATAGTATCATATTATCATTGGGTAAGTAACTGTACATGGGTAAGTAATAACTGAAAGGATCATAAATCTAGAAGATTCAATATTAAAAATCAGAAGTCTACAGATTGCTAACAGTGAACTTATTTCTTTTGCTTTTTTCAATAATTCCTAATTACTTTATTTTTTGTACCTGGGATCGAACTCAGGTCCTTCCGCTTGTGCAGCAGGCAGTGAAACTACTGAGCTAAATCCCTGGTCTCCTAATTACATTTTTAACATTATACCATTTCATAATTAATTTACTTGTATACATACATATCCACACTGTATTCTTATACAAAGTACAATGACATGGTATGTGTCTAACATGCTGTATGTGTATACAATTCAGTAGTTTTTAGTATATTCAGATGCTGTGCAACCTTCACCACTAATTCTAGAATGCTTCTATCCCCAAAATCTCAAAATGGTCAGCAGTCACTATCAATTTCTACATACTTTTTGAATGAATTTTAATGAACTGCAATCTACATGCAATAAATTTTATCAACTTTAAGTGTTACAATTTGATGAGTTCTGAACATGTATATACTTGGGTAACCACCACCACAATCAAAATACAGGATATTTCTATCACCCCTTAAACAATCTTACACGTAAAGACGTTAAAAGCACCAAAGGAAACTGAGAAAACAGCCAGGAAGGTAAAACGACAGAAAGACAAAAAGGGCAATTCTGAGGTCCTGGAAGCCAACAAGAGAAAAGTATTTTAAGGATGAAGGAGTGATCAACTGTCAAATGCTGCTGAATCATCAAATAACTAAAATGAGGACTGAGAATTCATGTGGAATTTAGCAATATGAAACACTGATGACCATAACAAAAGCAGCTATAGTGGAATGGGGAAGCTTCACTGAAGTAGATTTAAGAGGGAATAAGAAAAGTATATGGGGATCACAAGACAACTCTTTTTTCCCCCTTTCAGTATTAAGGATTGAACCCAGGGTGTCAGCCAGGTGAGGCAAGCATTCTACCAATGAGCCACAGCCCTAGTCCTTTTCATTGATCTGAAGATAAGATCTTGCTGTTACCCAAGCTGACATTAAATTTGCAGTCCTCCCTTCTTATTCTCCCTAGTAGCTCGCATTTCAGGTGTGCAACCCCATGCCTGGCTTGGAATATACTTTAAGAAGTTTTGCTCTAGGCCTGGGGATTTAGCTCAGTGGTTCCGGCACCTGCCTCGAAAGCTGGCATGGTCCCAAGTTCGAGCCCCGGTACCAACAAAACAAAAAGGAAGTTTTGCTCTAAAAGGAAAAAGAAAGTGGAATAAGGGTAGTGTCAAATGCTGCTAATAATAAGGGTATATAAGGGCAAGTCATTGTATGCTAAAATGGTAAATCCAGAAGGAATGGGAAATGCAGTGATGCAATAAAGAGGCAGAAGTGTTGGTAAGTTGGCAAGAAGGGAGATCAAGTGTATAAGAAGAGGGATGGCCTTGGACTGGAGGAAGGATTGTTTATCCAAAGCACAGGAGAAAAAGCAGAGAGTAAGGGTACGAATGTAAAAGCTTGTGGAGCTCTCTTCTGATTCCTTTTGTTTCTCAGTAAATAGGGAACCAAGGTCTAATACTGGCTGCAAGTGAGGATAGGGGAAGAGAATACAAGGGTTTGAGGAGAAAGAAGGTGTGAAACTGTCATCCAGGAGTTTGGTAAGTTTGAACTGAATTTAAAGTACGATCAGTCAACAGAACTGCGTGTTTTTCTCTCTCAATATTCAGCTATGCAGGTGCACACATGAGAGTAGATGGAGAGAGTAGATTTAAACAAGGTTTTCATAAAGGCACAAAATAAGCAGAATGAAGAGAGAAGCCAAAAAAAAAAAAAAAAGAGTTAAGATTATAATGGCATTTGACCCAGCTATTCCCCTACTGGGTATCTTCCCAAAAGAACTAAAAGAATCATACCACAGTGATATATGTGCACCCATGTTTATAGCGGCACAGTTTGTAATAGGTAAAGCTTGGAAACAGCTCAATTGCCCATCAACTGGCGACTGGTAAAGAAGACGCGTTTTTTTTTTAATAAAATGGAGTACTACTTACCCATAAAGAATGAGAAACTACAGACATTTATAGCTAAATGGATGCATATTGAGGCCATACTCTAAAGTGAAATAAATAGGACACAAGTGTAAATACCGAATAGTTTCTCTAGTGTGGGAAACTGAAAGTGTAAATAAGGATTAAAAGGATTAATAATGGGGCCGGGGATTTAGCTCAGTGGTTTCGCCGCCTGCTGCGCAAACGCAAGGAACCAAGTTCGATCCCCGGTACCAAAAAAAAAAAAAAAAAAAAGGATTAATAATGAATAATTCATACTTTGAAAGAGGAAAATGTCCAAAGGGGTAGGTGTGGTGGGAGGGGGAGGGGAAGGGGAAAGGAAAAATTATGAGAAAAGAAAAAAAATGGAAACGAAGTCTATGTAAATAGGGAAGGATGGAGGGGGTGAAGGGAGCACAGGGAATGGGGGAAAAAAAAAATAAAAACCAAGATACATCATGTACAGGTACAAGCACCCAATGATAAATGTAAACGTACTGTATACCTAAAATGTACCAATAAAAGAATTTAAGGAGAACAAAATTAATGGTTAACCTTGGAATTTAAGCTAAATAAGAATAAGATGTAAGGAGGGAGTGAGGAACAGATGGAGGGGTGGCAAAGAAAGGGAAGCTTGAAATTGAGATTTTGGGAAATGAGATGCTGAGCTAGGCAGCAGGACAGGACCATCACAAGAGAAGAAGTCAAGGATCCAAGATAAGGCAGACTATGGAAAGATTATGTGGATACAGCATTCACAAGAATTATCACATGACTAATAACATTAGAGAAGTCAACAAGGTGCCAGGAACTAAAAGATACAAATAGTAAGGGATTGTGACCAAAGTGTGGGGAAACACCATAAGAAGGAAGAGTGGTTGGACAACAGCATAATCTAATGACAGGAGATTAAAGGTGCAGTTTTTTTTCAGGAAGAAGGGAGATGGAAAGGTCTGCAAGTAGCAATGAAGTTTCAAGAAAACTGTATTCCCTCTCGAGGCTCAGTAGTACAAGGGAAAGAGAGAAATCAGGCACTACTTAGGAAGGTCACAAGGGAAACCGTGTCTTTGCATGAGAGATAGGTTTCAAATAGGGCAAGCAGGTTAGAGAAGATGAAGACACAAAGGATTTTGTTGATGACTGGCCACAATCCTAAAAGCTAGAGTAGAATAGTTTACAGATACGTATTTTGGGTTTAGCATGTCTTGTGCTAAATGCATTCCTATTATTTTATCTAATGTTCAACCAAAGAAACATCCATCTATTTTAAAGCTGGAGGAAAAATCAGATGAACATATTAAGAAACAATTTGTCTCAAAGATGGTGTCTTAAGAAAATTTTGTAACTTTATTTATATCTAATTTTCATTATACAGACTGACATTCAAATTTAAACTTCCTTTCCTCTACCTTTTACACATGCACGTGACACACACACACACGCGTGTGCACATGCATAACCATACAGTATACTGAAGTATTATCTCTTCTTAGCCTGTACCTTGTAAGGATCCTCAGGATCTACCCAGGCCACATGAAACATATGGCGAATTTCTTCTGCCAGTCCAATTCTTGCTCCACTGTTGGCTGCTACATAGATGCGTGGAATACCCTCTGCCCTGGCAAGTTCAGAAGCTCTGAGAAACAGCAAATCCTCCTGGGGCCCAAAGGACCCAATTAGGTATGTGATGTCATTACCAATAACAATGATATCCCGGCCCTCTGGATATTCAGGACTTTTCAGGATCATTTTCCAAGCTACCATGCCAATCTGCAAAGATATAAACCAACTAGTAAATATAAGCCTCTTATAGTGAGATTTTATTTTTTCAGGTTCCTTCAATGTATGACACTATAACTAGACACATTCTTCATGGGAAGGTGTGCATTGCTGAAGAGCCAACCTCCCTGTTAGAAACTAGAAAAATTCTAGTATACTGCTCTAGATTTGCTGAGAAAAGCTGGTTAACTATGTAATCTAAAGCTGACTTAGTTCCTTTTTGGGCCTACTCAAAACCGAAGACTAAAATGCAATTAAGATATGTGTGGAAGAACAAGATAGTACAGGCAATTAAGTCTACAATCTTACTATATTAAGACACTATTTCCAGCTTTAGTGAGACTGGTTCCAAGAAACCTTTAACACATAAGGGACCAGAAAGAGAATCACCTTTCATGGACTGGATAATTCCTGTGATCTGAGATCCTTTAACTATCCTCCCGCATTTGATATGAAAAATGAAATATTCTTTAGTGGTTTGCTCCAGGAATCTTCCAGTTCTGCAAGAATTTCCTATTGCTCAACATCGCTTTTTTTTTTTTCTCGCAGTACTGGGGATTGAACTCAGGACCTTGTGGTTGTCAGGCAGGCATGGAGCCACTGAACTACATCCCCCGCCAACACTGCATTCTTGAGAGTGTCTCCTGCTGCTTTCTCTCAGCAGCAAAAAACCAATGGATGAACAGAACTAATTTTTTGCTGCACTGTGATATATGTTAACTCTCTGCTCTCTATTCAGTAGCATCTGACCAGCCACACAAATGATACCTACTTAAAAGGCAGAGGTGGTGTGTCTCTTCCCAAACTCTCACAGCTCTCTCCTCTTTTAATCTTCTATGTGAAAACGAATCAATCCTTCCACTTGTTTATTCACTGGTTTCATTTCTTTTCTATTCATTTACACCCCAGTTACAGATGTAGTTTTTCATGTCTGTCTGTTTCCCATATACTTGGTTGGATAAGTGATGCTTCTCATTCTATTTTTCCCCTCTTTCTGCCTCTCATCTTCCTCCCTGCCCCCACCACTCACCTGCCAAAACAGCCTACCAGATGAGCATTCCTGGTCCTGCCTAATGGAGCCCAGCCACACATCTGCAGCCTTGGTCCCTCATCCCCAGGCTGCTGCGTATCACCTCATTGGGGAGCTGGCCATCAAGAAGGGCCATTAACAGATGTAAATAGCAGCATCCCTGGAAAGCCACATGCATCACCCAGACTCAACCGGGCCAGTGATCATAAGCTCTGAGTACACATTCCTCAATCCAATTGCACATCCAATGTAATCAGGCTGGTTGAGGCATTCCACACAGCTATTTGTGATTCTCAGCATTAAGAAATATATACGAAATACCCACAGATAAATATAAGCTATTTAATATATTATACCATTGGCCAAATACAAATCAAAATGGATATAATACACAGGGAAAAAATCCAATCACCTTCTGAGATAAGGTATTACTCTATCTGCTCACTAAAGACAGATAAGGAAAGGAGAAACACATCATTAAAAAAATAGCACAGAGAAACCCCAAATATCAGGATAATTTTGCTTGTGTTTTTTAAGAGAGCAGTTTATATAATACCTGTATGTAGTGAAATATTTTATCTGCTTTCTCACGTGTTCCTCTAGCCCAACTGCTCTTTTGTTTTTCAGGAAAGAAAAGCTATTTCCTGTCTACTTTCCTCTAAATGCATTTGTAGTTAGGAAAATTGGGTTTTACACCAAATTTTATGATATATTAACCTCAGCCTTCTAGGCCAGAAGCAGTTTAGATACAAACCCGGAAGAATCTATTTTAGCAGTTTTGTGTTAATGCAAACACTATAACTATGTGGCACTGGACAGGCAAATAATACTCTTATCTTTTGTTATTACCTGGGGACTCTAACTGTATCACTTGGGCAGTCAGTTCAACAACTGGCCAGGTCATTATGCTCGCAATATTGACTTCTAATTAGGTGTCAACACAGCAGCACCAAGAACACACTACTGTTTATCATTGTCTTTCCAAAGTGTGTTCCTCATCGACCATACTCCCCTCCCACCTTAAAAAGTACTATTACAGAATGGAAAGTGGTATCCCAGTCTTAGTATAGCAAGATTCTCTACTGGAAGAGATTCAAGTTTTGAGTTAGTACAATGGATAAACATCTAAAGAAAGCTTTTGTTGCTCAATTTATATTAAGATCTGGATGTCACTGATGATCAAACAATAAGGCATATAATGGTGAACACGAACTTTGGAGTCAACCAAACTCAAGATTTAAATCTAAGATGTATTGTTCATTAACCCTGTGACCTTGGAAACATTATTTAACCTTACAGAGTTTCAATGTACCCAGATGCAAAATTAAGAATATAGCCCCTATGGATTTGACAAACAAACTACTGGAAGCAGAAATCTATTATGTTAACTTTAATATACAAAGTTTGCCATTTTCTCTCCCATTAACTTGTTCAAATCCTATTTCAAAAGGTTCATTCAAATTCTACTTCTTCAGTAAAGCTTCCTCCAGCCCAAAGTGACTCATCTCTTCTCTAATCTCTTACTAAAACTTTCATGTAGAGAATCTATTAAAAAAAAGAGAGAGACAATCTATTTGATAACCAGTCATAACCTGCCTAGGACTTCTTTTAGCTTATGTCTTGAACCACTTTATCTCCTCTAGCGCCTTGCAGGATCCCTACTACATAATACAGGAGCTATAAATACTTGCCAACTCCATAGTTATTTCATTTTAAAAAATGACATTTGGACTTAGTCAACAACATGGGCTTAGAACATTGTCCAGCACTAATATCTAGAGATTATAGGATAAAAATCTTAAATATCATTATTTTATTTTAAAAATAGCTATATATATATATATATATTTTTTTTTTTTTTTTTTTTTTTTTGGTACTGGGGATTGAACTCGGGACCTTCCACTTGCGAGGCAGGCGCCAGAACCACTGAGCTAAATCCCCGGCCCCTAAAAATAGCTATATTAACTGAACATCTATTACATGCTGCACTACACTATAAGTTGACAAATACTGAGTGATTAAGGGCTTAAGTGAAGAAGTCAAGCTGTCTTATTCCAAATTTCAGCTTTAAATTAGCTGTAAAACCTTGGACAAACCAACTCTTGATAGTAACACCTTTCTGTAAGGATTGTTGTGAGAAACACCACAACAAATTAGTACAGAGTCTGGTATATAAAAGCCCTCAAAGGTAGCTATAATTGGCATAAGGAAATCCAGGCACAGACTAAATAATTTGTTCTTACAGCTAGTGTAAATTGTTTGTTTACTAATCTGTTTTTGCGATACTCAAGATTGAACCCATCGGGTGCTAAGCTGCATCCCTAGCCTTTTGTTATTTTATAAGAGGATCTCACTAAGTTGCCCAGGCTGGCCTCAAATTTACAATCTTTCAGCCTCAGACTCCCAAAAATCTGTGATTAAAGATGTGCTCCACCCCCCCCAGCAGTATTGTTTATTTTTAAAATATTCACAGAAAAATACAGATTTTTCTTTACTAGAGAGATTAAGGAAATATATTCCACATTAGTTCTACTGCTTTTAGGTGAATACATATGGAACATGAACAACAATTATACTACGAACATAAATGTCACTGACCCTTAAACTCATTGTGGACTCAGGGACTATATCATGGAACAGAAAAGGACATTCTTAAAAAAAACACTTGGGCCAGGGATTTAGCTCAGTGGTTCTGCTGCCTGCCTCGAAAGTGGAAGGTCCCGAGTTCGATCCCTGGTACCAAAAAAACAAAACAAAACAAAAAAACTTATAGGAAAAAAAGGTCTTTATTTAATAGAGTTGTACCAATATTGATTTCTTAGTTTTGATAATTAGACTATGATTATGTAAGATATTAAAATTAGGAGAAGTTGAAGCTGAGGGTATACGGTAAGTGCTTAGCATGTATGAGGCATTAGGTCTAATCACGAACACCAAACAATATATTAGAGGAAGATGGCTAAAGGGTATAAGGGAATTCTTTGCAACTTTTCTGAAAAATCCAAAATTATTTTAAAATAAAAAGTTAAAAAAGTAAATATCATGCTTTTGAAGGTAAGTACTTTGGATATTAAGGTCTCTGTTAGTATTCTATACAGTCTTATAAAGTGCTGACTATGAAGACTATAAATAGCATTTTAAAATACCCATGATGTAATATTAAATTAGAAAAGGTAGGGCATAAAACTGTATGCATATTATAATGAGAGGCAAAACAATATGGTGGTTAAGGGTAAAGTCCCAGGATTCTGAGACACTGAGCTTAATCTAACAGACTAAAGATTCAGTTTACTAGTCATATAACCTTAAGTAAATTACTAACTTTTCTGTGCTTCAGTTTCTTCAGTAGTAAAGAGGGGTAATAACAACCTACTGTGTCAGTTTGTATGCTATGTCCTAGAATGGTACATGCACATAGTAAGTACATAATATATTTTATAATTCTACCTCAAAATATTCTTAGGGCAAAACAAACAGCAAAATGAGATAATTATTAGGATGATGAAATTGTATGGTTTTTTTCCCATTTCCAAACTTTCCTTTTTTTTTTTTTTTTTTTGAGGTAAAGTCTCGCTATGTAGTCCAGTCTGGCATTGAACTCACTATGCAACCCAGGCTGACTTTGAAATTGGGGTGCTCCTCCTGCCTCAGCCTCCTCAGTGCTGGGATTACAGGCATGTGCCACCACACTAGGTCTCCTTTAATGTTTTTATATTGTACTGATGTCTTTTTAAAAAAAAGTTTCTTAAAAGAGGGAATATCTCACCAGCATAATGGATTTCTCATATTTCAGAGAAACTAACTCTAGATTTCAATCATATTATAATAGATTGTTTTCATGTTATGATTAAAAAGAAAAAACAAAGATACAAAAATTAAAAATCAAGATCACCTTAAAAGAAAATCAGGAACTATCTTATTTTGTTGTTGCTATAATTTCATTTTTTAAAAAGAAATGCTC